GACATCCAAAAGGCCCCAAGACGGTCCAAAAGCGCTCCAGGAGGACCAACATTTGCTTGCCACAGGACGGCCTAGAGGAGGTCCCCAGAACGTCCTCCAGCTCTCAAGGGGAGTCGGGGGCTGTGCCTGTCGTTTTCCCCCGTCTCTTCTCCCTGCAGGGACCATTCAGGGGGGGGGAGGCCAGCGTGTCAGACATCATTCGGCCGCAGGCTGGTGGAAGCACATTCCGTGCTGCGCGCAGGGCTACTGACGAACACAATACAACATGCACCTCGCGGCTAAAACTGGATAGTGCGCGGCCACCCCGCGGTCATTGCCAAGTGGTTTTGTCAGGGACGGCGGGGGTGGTGGTGTCTGGCGTGCTGTGCGCAGGCCCACCAGACACAAGGATGGACATTGGTTTTAGACAAGGATGGCGGGGGCCGACATGTTGCCCGATGTGTGCTGTCACGTGCGCAGGCGCACCGGACACACTCTGCACGTGCCCCGGGGGAAACAAGCGGCGGGGCGACGAGAAACGCACCTTTCCGAGCATCCGTCGGAGCCAGGCTGGGGCCCGTTCGGGGACAATTTCCTGCACCATGCTTGTTGCCCCCCGTCTACTCCCGCCCGAAACATCACTCTGAAATGAACATCTTTTGTATTTCGGTTTGGCCAGATTTGCAAGTGGGATCCGGCAAGCTTCCTCCTCCCACGTAATCACAGCCGCCATCACCAGTCACTCTCCTCGTCGTCGCCATCGTCCACGTCATCGCCGCTGCCGAAACATTCGCACCTAAGAGCACTCATGCCTTAGCACCCCACGACTGTCGGCCCGCGCCCTCCGCGGGCTGCCCGTTCAAGTTGTGCCTGACGAGCTGGTCGAAACTGGAGCCCAAACAATCCTGGCAACGTCGCGGCAATGCTGCTGGCGCCGCAACGCACCCGCCCTAACTGACATCATGAACATGGCATTTGCCAAATGGTCCTCACTGATTCAACTATTCCGGCTCTCCTTCCCTCCTCCTCCTCCTCCTCCTCCTCCTCCTCCTCCTCCTCCTCCTCGTCCTCCTCCCTCCTCCTCCTCCTCCTCCTCCTCCCTCCTCCCTCCTCCTCCCTCCTCCTCCTCCTCCTCCTCCTCTCCTCCTCCTCCTCCTCGCCTCCGCCTCGGCCTCCTCCTCCTCCTCCCTCCTCCTCCTCCTCCTCCTCCTCCTCCTCCTGCACCTCCTCCTCCTCCTGTTCCTCCTCTTCCTCCTTTTCCTTCTCCTCATCTCCTCCTCCTCCTCCTCCCTCCTGCTCCTCCCCCTCCTCCTCCTCCTCCTCCTCCTCCTCCTCCTCCGCCTCCTCCTCCTCCTCCTCCTCCTTCTCCTCCTCCTCCCCCTCCGTCATTTCCCTCGACCTGCACCTGCTGCAAGCTTATCTGGAACACCGCGCCACGAGTGACGCATGCGAGACGAATCCGCCGCAGCGTTTCCCCTGGTACGTTGAGGCGCTGTCCGCAAGCTGGCGGGTTTCTGAATGTTTTCTAAGAGCCTTCTCGCCTTCTGCGAGGTTTCCTGTGTGCAATTCGGGGACAGGCCAGGGGAACGTCTCGGAAGGCCGGGGGACTTCCGAGCCGTCTGAGAAGGCCCGCCCGCCCCTTCTCGCTTCCCCCCCTCGCCCGCCGCCGACTGATGGCTAATCACGCGCTTGCCCAGCCTGGCTGAAACTCGCCCGCAACTTGACCTGTCGGCGCAAGCTCGCCCTCGACCGGGAAACCCGACCACCTGCCGAGATCAAACGCCTCGGGAGCCCGACAGCCTGGCCACACGGATCGCGGTTCCACAGGGAGCTCAGCCTGCTGCCAAAATGAGAGGCTTCGCATACCGGCCCAGGCCCAATTCAGCGCACCTCTCACACGGATCGTGCCTGACACGGACCCGGGAGCTCCACTTGCGGCCTCAACATACGCATTCATGATGCGGGCCTCTGCCCAATCCTGCACACCGCTGACACGGATCGCGGATGATAGTTTGCTTAGTTCGCTCTGTGGGGCAGTTGTTGAAGACGCCATCGCCTCCTGAGACTATGCGAAAAAAAGGTTTTCGCTGGCGAGCGAACCATTATGCCAGCCCTTGGCCAAGTCTCAATAGCGCACCGAAGGTACTTCGTGGTTCACTAAGGGCGCCGTCGCCAAACTAACGATTACCAATTTCAACATGTCGCACCCAGGGTATTTCTGGGGGGCACCGTCGCCAAACGGCCGAAACGGATGTGCCCGCATGCGTCCCGCCGCCAATTCCGACACGCCTCGCGCGCGGAACTTTTTGCCACAGGGACCCAACTCCATCCATCCCGCGGTACACCCAGAATGAGAGGGCCACACCCTGCGCCACGCGCAGCTGCATAGGGTTGGGCCCTTCCCCGGGCGATGCCCATCCTCGACCGTCACCTGGCCATCGCTCGAACGTCCATTCCCTGTGTTTTTTTCGGTGTCGTGCGTGGCTTTTCCGCCGAATGATCAAGGATGCTCCTCGATGGTCCTCGCCGAAGGAAAAATGCACACGTCCGAGCGATGCCAAGTCGACTGTCACAGAAAGGTTGACGCCGCCACTCGTTTCGAGGACAGACGAACCACCCCCGCAGTGAGCAGCCCAACGAGCGGAGCCCTCTGGCAAGCGCGTCTGCAAAGGGGATCGAACAGGGCAGGGCCGAAGACGCCTGGGGGCTGTTCTGTAAACGCCAATTGTCGGGATCGGGGTGACTTTAGACGAGCGCGTTCCACTAAGCGACTGCTTGCAAATGGCCTGGATCCGCCGCGGGGGAGCCGCGATAGATTCCAGCGAAGCAGACATGTGTCTTGTTCGGACGTTTGCGAGTAGGCACTGTGCGAGTAGTGGAACGCGCTCGGTGAGGATTGCCCTCCTTTCACGGTCACTCTTGCAGGACGAATAACGCCTGCACTGCACGGCTGTACTTGCGCTGCTGGGGCCAGTGGCTTGCAACTTCGCGGTGGGTTGCGCGGTGCGCGGTGGGTTCCGCCGTGGGCGTCGTGCGGCCGGCTGCGCTGTGGGCTGCGCGGCGGGTTGCGCGGTGGGCCAAGCGGCGCGTTGCACTAATAATGCACGGCTCCACAATACGACTCCACACACGGAGGCTTCTACGCACCGGATTCAACGCATACGGAGCTCTGCACACATCGGGCCGCTGCTTATGTGTCGTGAGCCCTTGCCTTACCTCGTTCGAGCCCGGCGCGCGTCGACTGGCCTTCCGAACGACAACGCAGGCAAGCAGCAGAATCTGTGTCGGGGCAGCCTGTGCCCCACCCGAGCCCTCCCTACCCAGCCGCCCCCCCTCGCCATCGCTCGGACGTCCATTCCCTGTGTTTTTTGTCGGTTTCGTGCGTGGTTTTTCGCTGAATAATGAAGGATGCTCCTCGGTGGTCCTCACCGAAGGAAAAATGCACACGTCCGAGCGATGCCAAGCCCCTGTGCGGCGGCAGATGTGTGCGGCAGCGCTCCTGGACATGCAAGGTGGGAGGTGGGAGGGGTCAGAGGGGCGGATGCACACTGACGCAGGGGGCACGTTCGCCCTGCTGTGGGCTTGCCCGCGGGGCACACCTTGGGATCGGCACGGCAGCGCGTGCGCCACCGGAGACGCTGGGGCTGCGACAGAGAGTCCCCCATCAAAAAGGCCCAGCGAGCTGAAGAGCAGAGCTCTGGAGTCAGCGCTGTGCCACCAGCGATCAGGGTGACGTGGGAAGACACAGCGCTATCATCCAGTGGACATACCTGGAACACATGTTTGGCTTAGACTCGGCGTTTGCACAAGTCGGTCTTACATGCCTCGAACACGAGAGGGCCGAGACAGAAACACTGGCGCGGCATGGCTGGGTAGGCCTCTGCGGCAACGGTCCTCCTCGGACGTACACCTGGGATGCTTGTCGGGATTGCCTTTAGCCTCAAGGCAAGGGAGACTAGAAGGCGGCCAATAGAGACGGAGCAACGAGGGGGGATGTGTGATGGAAGGCAGGTTTGATGAAGGAGTATCGCCAAAGAAAAAGAGCAGCAAGGTGTGACAGATAAATGGTGAAAACAAGCTAACAACATAGAAATGTGCGGGGGAAGAGGGGTACGGAGGATGAGGCGTGGGACACATGAGTGGGGATAACAATGAGGAGAAGAAGGAGGAACACAAAGTATGAGGCGTGGGGAGAGATGGGAGTTATGAATCGATTAACGAAGAGAGTCTCAGGGGTGTGACATGGATGCGGGAGAGGAGGTGCAGTCATTGAGGAGGGTGTGTGAGCAGGAGGAGGATCCCGGAGAGGCGAGGATGAGGTATAAGGAGCACGACCATGAGGAGGACCATTGTCACATGGATGATGGGGGGGGCGGGGCGATGACGTGGAGGAGGAGACATACGCATCAGGACTGAGGGAGACGAGGGAGAGGATGAGCGAGGAGCGGGAATGTGGAGAAGGCAACGGGGGAGCAAAGAAGAGAGAGGCTGGGCAAAGAGACTGGCAAGAAGAACGGAGAGGAACGGAAAATAATCGGAACGATTATGATGAGGGGAAGGGCGAGGGGGAATACAGTCGGATTTGATTGGAGAGGACACGCGACAGGACATAAGACCCTTCCGAGGGCCACATTGCCACAGGAATGTAGGAAGCATGGGCCGCGAGACACAGGACAGAAGGGTACCCTTGATTGGGCGGGGTCGACCTACTAATCTGGGCCGACTGTAGAAAGAGGAACGGGGAGGAGCGGAACACAACCGTAACGATGATGATGAGGGGAAGGGCGAGGGGGAGTAGAGGCCGTGAATGGGATGAGGGATGAGTGCGCAGGAGCACGTCGATGCCAGTCCGCGCGCAGGCGCGCTTCGCGAGCGGCAGGGTTTGCGCGCCAGCGCCAAGCCTCCCAGCACGCGAGGTTCGCCGCCGCGACCCAATGTCTTGGGCGGTCGACCTTCTCGGTGGGCATCCATGTAGCCCGTGGCAGGACTCAGCTCGAGGATATCCTCGCAACTCACGCCCCCCCTGACACTGGGCATTGCACCACAAAACTGGATCTTGTGGCTGGGCAACACGACATCACCAGCTGCAGAACTTTCTCGAGCTGAAGCTGGCGTTCAATCCGCCAGCTTGACGTGGCGTTCACACACCTCCATTTGTCCAATACTCTTGATAGCCTGCTGCTTACGCAGCAATATCCACTTGGTAATTTCGATGGGTTCCCTTTGGGGGATTTGCCAGCCGAGTTCGATGGCTAGGAACAAGTGACGCGTTTACTCATGTGAATGGAACCCACATGGTATTTCGCCGATGCTGGCCAACTTGGGTCTTGTCAGGGACTGGACTCGAAACGCGACGTGCCTGCGTCACTGCTCCCGTCAACGGCACTGCTCGCCGCCGCGGCCACCATAACGACCTGCTCGATAACATGCTTGTAGCCCCCATCTTTTAAGGGCCCAAGGACACACAAATAAATACACAGGAATAAAATGATTCCCCATAGTTTCCCATATTTTCTTGTTTTTTGCCTTCCCGCCCAATTCCCATATTTTCCCATATGTTTTGGGGGATCGACGATCAATTGTGTCGGTGTGTTTTTTCCCCTCCGGAATCTTGGCTCCAACCAAGATCTTTGAATCCGCGCTGCCTGCACCAACCTTGCGCTTGAATCGCCGTTATGGTCGCAACCGCTGCGTCAAGCTCAGCTTCCCTTGCTGTCTGCCACGTTCGCGCTGTCGTTGGGTGCTTCGCTCGCTCCTGCCACTGGGCGGCTGCAGTCTGCCGAAGCATGACTCCACCCAACTCGCTTCCTTCTTCGGCCGGGGCTATGACGAAGATAAATCCGATCCAGAGCTTTCCGGAACGCTCTCAGAGCATTCTGGAATAATACTCTCAGGGGGCTGCGGCGCCCGATGCATCCTCCACATCCGCCCGATCGTCGCAGATTCTCGACTCGTCCTCATCGGAATTTGACCTCGTCCTGGCTTCGCCTTACTTCTGCGCACCCCACTCTGTGGGCAGGAGGAGAGCGGGCATTTTCGCAATTCTTACACAGTTGCTACTTGCTGCAAACGCGGGCCGGCGGCCCGGGTCAGGGCCTGAAATAGTTTGACCTGCCCTGATCGCTCAGGTCTCTTGAGCCGAAGTGGTTGCGACTGGTGGTGGCGACTTTGGGGAGAAACGGGGTGAGGAGAAGAGATGAGGAGGTGTCGGTAGGAATGAGGGGGGGGGCGCTTGGGGCGAATGGATTAGGCACAACGTAGGGGTGGAGTGAGGATGAGCGGCGAGGAGGATGGACGATGGAAGGGACATCGCTTCCAAGGGTTCGACCAGGTACAGAGAGATGAAGAGATAGACACAGAGAGCGAGAGAGAGATAGTGTGAGGAGGAAAGAGATGTACTGAAGGTGAGACCGAGAGAGAGAAATATAAAGAACGAGAGAGAGAGAGAGAGAGAGACAGACAGACATGTTGAGAACGTGTGTTGCTAGTGACGGGGACAGAGAGGGAGAGGGTACAGGAGGAGGTGGAATCCCACCAGCCCTTTGGGCCAAGATGATCTAGCGATATCTGTCTTTCCTCTTCCAAAAACCCGCTTCCCTTCGGGGAGGGGAACCCTCTCCATCCCCTCCCTGAGATTGTTGGGCGGGTGTCGCGATCGGCCAAGGCCACCGTCCCCAAGATGGTCCCGAGAGCCCCGCCAGGGCGCCGAAGGCGCCCTAACAGGGCCAAAAGGGACCGAAGACGCAAGAGAGAGCTGCAAGAGGGACCGAAGACGCCACAAGCCCCAAGAGGACCCCCAAATCCCTCAAAAGAGTCCCAAGAGGGCTCCAAGAGGCGACTTTGAGGGCTCTGCCCTCGTCCTCGTTGTCCTCTTCGTCCTCCTCGTCCTCCTCCTCCCCCTCCTCCTCGTCCTTGCCCGCAGCGTCTTCCTTTTCCGTTTCCTCCTTTTCCTCGTCGTCGTGGTCATCGTCGTCGTCGTATTCCTCCTCCTCCTCCTCGCTCCTACGTGAGCCCCAGGGATGGCCCGACGAGGCCCTCCAAGGCCACCCCCTTGCTCCCAAAGATCTGCCTGTTCACCCTGGTGACCCGCTTTGTTGCACTAGATCTCTCTTCGTCCTTGTTCCCGCCAACTCTTATAGGCAGATGTCTGAGTGGGCTGGTGCGGATACGCGAAGGAGAATATATAGAAGGAAGGACGACGAGAAAGAGAGAGAGAGAGAGAGCGCGAGGAAGAGAGAGGACGCAACACATTGGATTTCGGGAAAGTCCAACGACTACATCCCGCTTCGTGTTGGACACGGCTATCAATCCACCGCAAGCTTGACGGCACATCTGCCAACCCTGAACACAATGCATGTACAAGCCAGGTAACCATGAGCGCCGGCGTCGGTAAACGAATTAAGACACAGGTTCTCCTTAGGCGACTTTGCGAGGAGGGGACCCGGAAACAAGTATCTGGTTAGGCATTGGAACGCCACGGGCCTTCGCGCTTCAAACACGCACGTACACACATACGTACAAGTGCCCGAAACCTCTGATGCACAGAACCCTGGCTAGGATGGCGAAACCTGCCAACCCAAACCCAACATCCTGCTGATTGGAATTGATGTGAGAGTTCTCAGGAACGCAGAACCCGAACGAATTCTGGCAACGGCACTGCCTCTGGGCCCATCCCTCCCAAGCATCCCGAGACCTGGAATGGCACTGCGCTCATACTGATCATGCAATGTTTGAGACAAGGCTGAACCTAAACGATGTGTTTCGCTTTCGTTTTGTTGTTCGGTTGCCCTCGTTTTGTCTTCAATCCGCCTTTACCGCAAAACGAAGTCGAAACGACAACGGCCCACGACATCGCAAAAACACCGTTTAGGTACAGCCCTGGTTTGAGAGAGTCCGGGTGCTGCCAATCTCGGCCAGGGTTTCGAATATCAGTGGTCACTGCAACCTGTTGCCTAACAGGGTGCGATGCCACGGTCTGGATGCGCTGGCACGCACATGCGATACAAGCTGCATACCAGCTCTTTGAAAAGAAGTTTCAGTACCCATGAGAATGGGCTTGGTCCGTCTCCCCACAGGCACAGTGGGAACAGTGTGCGTTGAGATGCGACGAACTCGAACTCGAACACCTAGGCGACAACGACACTCTACGTTGATTATCCCAGCGCAACCTGCACTGCAAAAGAAGTTCGCCCGACAGAGAAACAGACCGAGACCGACGACACGGAACAGGCCCCCTCATCAACACGACTCCGACCCTTCGCCCTCATGCACATTTCATGCTGCCCAACTTTTGAGCAGGGACCGACCGTCCCGGCATTCCTATAGTCATACCACGAAATGTTCTTGGAACCCAAAAAATGCTTGAAGAACAAAAGCAATGCTCTTAGAACATAAGGCCGGTGTGTTAAAACGAGACAGTCCCGGCCAGACATGTTCTAAGAACATGTCGTGGAAACCACAAACAGTTCTTAGAACATTGTTTGGTAGGGCTATGGGCGAGCCAGGACGCTTCGCCACTGCTTGATTCCCATGCCCCCCGTCCAGATCTCCCTGCGTGACATTGTTTAACCCTGCTATGTCAGATGCAGGTCGTTACCCCAGGGGGGGGAGGACGGGCGGCCGGCACCGGGAACGCTTCTGCGGGAGGTGGGGTGCACGGGTTCCCCCGGGGCCGTAGGCGACCCGAGGAGGAGGAGGAGGAGGAGGAGGAGGAGGAGGAGGAGAACAAGGTGGAAGAGGAGGAGGGGAGGAGGAGATGGAGGAGGAGGAGGAGGAGGAGGAGGAGGCGAGGGAGGAGGGACGAAGAGAGAGGAGGAGGAGGAGGAGGAGGAGGAGGAGGACGGGTCGCCGAAGCCCTTCGGAGCAAACCCTCCGGGGTGGAGGGGGGGGCACGTCGGAACGGGGGTGCTCTACGATCGCCATCGTATGGGCGCGAGCACCAGCATGTGGGGACATGCACATGCCCTCCCCAACAACGCAAGAGCGTGACGGTTACCTTGGGGGCGGTTCTGCCCAGGTAGCGACCGTTGTGCGCAAGAGGATAACACTGCACGGTTTCCCCCCGGGCCGTAGGCGACCCGAGGAGGAGGAGGAGGAGGTGGAGGAGGAGGAGGAGGAGGATGAGGATGAGATGGAGGAGGAGGAGGAGGAGGAGGAGGAGGAGGAGGAGGAGGGCGGAGGAGGAGAAAGAGCAGGAGTAGGAGGACGGGTCGCATAAGCCCTTCGGGGAAACACCCTCCAGATAAAAAAAAGTCCCCGTGTGGGACTCCGCGCCAGGTGCCCAGAGCCCCCGACCTGATCTCCCTGCGTCGAGCGCTGCTTCGCGGGAGGGCGATCAACGGGGGGGAGGGTGAAGAAAGGAGCCCCTCTCGCGCACCATCGGGGCCCCAAAAGGTGCACGAAGGGTGCACGCCTCTCCGCACCCTCCCCCTTAACCGCCGCCCCGCCCAAAGAGCAGCGCCCCACGGCACGTGGGACTCCTCGGGCCGGCTCCGTCCGTGCTGCCCCGCCCCCGAGGAGCCCCGGGAGGAGCCCCGGGGGTCGGCGCAGCCCCCCCGCGGCTGCCGGCGGGCCCGCGCCTGCGCCGCCTGCTCGCCGTCGGCCTTCGGTCACGGAAGCGCGTGGGGCAACGGTAGGAGGGGGACCAGCGCATGGGGGAGCCACTACTAGAAGCCTCCTAAACGGGGTCCGAGCAGATGGGGTCGAAAGATTGCGCCGCATCGCCAGTGCATCGCCGACGCACCGGCGATGCATCGGCGATGCACTGGCGACGTCGGCGATGCATCGGCGACGTGGGCGTGGAGAAAATCGGGCCCCGCATTGAGTCGCATCGCCGTCGCATCGGCGATACAGCACGAACCTCCGACCCCCTCTGCTCTGACCCCGCCTGGGCGGCCCAGAGCAACGTGCGGCGAACGACAGGGGGAGGGGGGCAGCTCGGCGGGGGGACCCGCTCGTGCGGGGGGTGGGGGCACGGTTTCCCCCGGGGCAGTAGGCGACCCGAGGAGGGGAGGGCGAGAAGGGGGAGGAGGGGAGGAGGAGGGGGAAGGAGGAGGAGGAGGAGGCGGAGGCGGAGGCGGAGGCGGAGGAGGAGGTGGCGGAAGAGTGAGGGGGAGGAGATGGAGGAGGAGGAGGAGGAGGAGGAGGAGGAGGAGGAGGAGGAGGAGGAGGAGGACGAGGGGGAGGGAGGAGGAGGAGGAGGAGGAGGAGGAGGCGTAGGAGGAAGAGGAGGAGGAGGACCGAGGGGGGGGCATCGTGCCCGAATCGGCGATGTATCGCCGACAGATCGGCGATGGGCCCCCGATAGCGCATCCGCAGGGTCCTGGGTGGGGTGGGCCACCGAGCCCTCATCGGCGATCAGCGGGCGATGGGGGGCCGATACAAAGAGGTCTCTCAGATGGGGTCGGAGCAGATGTAGACGGGGCCGCCCTGGGGTGAGAGCACGACCTCCTCCTCCTCCTCCTCCTCCCGATGCACCGGCGATGCATCTTCGAGGTCGGCGACGCATCGGCGACGTCGACGTGAAGCGAATCGAGCTCCACATCGAGCCGCATCGACGATGCATCGGCGATGCGAGCCGATCCTCCGACCCCATCTCCTCGGACCCTATCCAGGAGGCCTAGAGATACCTCCCCCTGAGCCTACCCCCCCTGCCCGAACGTTGCCCCTGGAAGCAACGGCACGGAAGGGTGTGCGAAGTGGCCGGCCTGGGGCACCGAGGTGCAAAAGGGTCCACGACTCGGTCTGATCGATTGCTCTGAGCTCTGCGGCCACGACCAATTCTGGGGAATCCATCCCTGTCATCGATGTGTCCCGCGCAACTGTCTCACGCAGCCCGCAGTGGTGGACTCGACTGGGCTGCCGATCAGATCGATTGGCGCTGATTTCCGCCGCCGTGACGTGGGCACTAGTCGAGTGTCCGCAGGTTCGCCGAGTGTGCCAAAAAGTCCCTTCAAGTCCTCAAGTTTCTCCGCATGGCTGATCGGGCTCCCCGCGTGACACTACAAGGGGCCTCGGGAGCCTGGTGGGACCTTGCACCGACTTTATCGAAAACGGCTTCTTGAATAATGATAGAAGTTGCCGAAATTATCGAGCACTGTCGAAATTCGTACCGAAATTATCAGGCCAGCACGGACTACAGGGCAGTTTCTACTACATCGGGGTTTTTCTCAGAAATATGTGCAGGATTTTTCATACATGATCAATGTATGAACTCATCGTTGCTTTAATCTTAAATCCCTGCATGTTTAAGACATGATCCGCACGCGGAGCACGTAATAAAAACGGCACTGTACAATGACCGAAAAGGTTTCCAGGCCCGTGTTGGAGCCTTCCTGGGCGCACGTTGGACCGCCTTGGAGGCCCCGGGGGCCGGCTCGAGAGGCGAAGAGCATCGGCAACCCTCGATGGAAGGGCCCCTGGGACACACAAATAAATACACACAGATGACAGCATTCCCCATAGTTTCCTAGATGTTCTGTTTTTTTTGTATTCCCCTCCCATACCTAAAAAGCCCCAGGGGAGCCCAAGACGCCGCCAAGGAGCCCCAAGATGCTCCCAAGAAGCCCCCAAGAGGCCCCCAAGACGGCCCCAAGAGGCCCCAAATAGCGCTCCAGGGCCAGCGGAATGAGCGAAGCGATTAACTAACAGGATTCCCCATAAGGTCCTATCTGTTCTGGGCATTTGTCTTCCCTTCCCATATTTTCCCAGGAAGCGACGATGCAGTGTGTCCGTGTGTTTGTTTCCCTCCTGATTGATGCTTGTATCCTTCAAACACACTGTGCTGAGAGCGCCCAAGACGGCTCAAGAGGGCCCAAGAGGCCGCCAAGATGGCCCCAAGAGAGGTCCAAGACGGGAAACTCGAACTGACGCTCGGAGCCTCCCGACCCAAGATGGCCTCTGAGATCGCCAGATCGTCCCCAGAAGGCCCCAAGGAGGCCCCAACCCAAAAGAGGTCTGCAAGAGGTCTTCAAGAGGAGCCCCGAGAGATTCCAAGAGACATGTAAGAGGCCTCGGTCCACAACCCAGTCACGTTGGCGGCGTTGTACGAAGGCCATACATTAAATATATGTAGTGGCTACGTGGACCCTTTCAGCGAGGTGGTACGGTTGAGTGTAATTGAATTATCTCTAATCTCTGGCCACGCGAGAGACGTTGAAGCTCCGCCGATGCTTGAACCATAAACTACCACAAAGGGGGCCGAAATCTGCCACCGTGCCTCGAAGCATGAAGTGGAGCGTCCTCAAGTACACGCGGGCTCTCTGTATCGAGTGCTGTCCAAACCTTGCCACCGTGGTTCGCCAAGGTTGCCCACCGCGCTCTGACCCTGCGCGCCTGGCTGTTGCTGCGCCCCCGGCTGCTCACTGTCGAACTCTTCGGTGTCTGAGCGTCCCTTCTCCCTCTCGGCCGTCCCCACCCCCCTCTTTGCTCGCCAGCCACTTCGCTAGTTAGGGCCCCTACCTAGCTTCTCGCTGGAGCGGAGTTCGCCGCCTCGCCGCGGACGAAACACCGTTTTGAGTGCTGTCGATATCCTGCAAGGGCCGAGAACTCCGATTTGCGGACCTCCTGGGCGCTCCTGGGCGCTGTTCGCGCGACCCCTTCGGAAGCAGGGCACGCCCAGACGGGCCAAGAGGGCCCCACAGGGCCCCCAAGGAGTCGGCCATGAGATCGCTCCAGGACGCCGAAGACTGGAGAGCAGCACAACCACCCTCACATGGATGAGCATCGTTTAACCGATCCCCATCCCCACCAGCGTGGGCTGGGCCCCACTGGCCGATTTGCGCCCCTGGGTGGGGATATAGGCTGCCCTCTTCGGGTTTCGAGGTGTGGTGGGGATGGGGGCAGGGATCGGTTAAATGATACTGAATGGAAGGAAACTCGATACTCGATTCGGTTTTTTATTCGGCGTTTCGACATTGGGCGGACAGGGGGGGGAGGTGGGGGCCTGGCTCCAGACCTCTGCTCAGCGCGACTGCTTGCAACGATGCGTCCCGTAGGGGAGGGACCCCGCCCGCTCGAATCAGGCTCCAAAAAACAGCCGAGATTTTTTACTCCACGGAGGGGGGGGGGCGAGGGCCCGCGTCGTTAAAGGCTTAACGACTTTTGCCGTCCTTCGACTCGCGCTGGAGCGGCCGCGAATTGCTCCCACCTTCCCTGGAGATCTCTGGATTTATCTGGATGTATCCGGATGTATCTCGATTTGCCTGGATTTACCCTGATCTATCTCGATTCATCTGCTTTTGCCAAGATCTATCTGGCTCGACTCCCACAAGTCGATAGTCGGGGATCTCCTGACCCGGGTCAACCCAGACCCGGGTCAGCCAGGGCTTGCAGAATCCTGCAAGATCCTGCAAGACCCTGCACCCAAACCCGGGTCAATGCGAAGGATCCTGCAAGATCCTGCAGGATCCTGCACCCAAACCCGGGTCAATGGGAGACTGGCCCTGCAGGATCCTGCAACATCTGGCGCTCTGGCTGACCCCCGTCTGCATTGACCCCCGTCTCAAAGCTCCCGAGATAGACCCTTAGGGAAAAAACACCGGCCAGGGAACTCGAACAGGGCGGGGCTGCTCAGTAGACGCCGAGGCCGCCCAGGGAGGGGCCGGCGAGGGGCCCGCGCGAGGCCCCAGGAAGGGGCCCGCGAGCTGAAGGGGAGGAGGAGGAGGAGGAGGAGGAGGAGGAGGAGGAGGAGGAGGAGGAGGGAGGAGGAGGAGGAGGAGGAGGGCGGGGGAGGAGGAGGGAGGAGGAGGAGGAGGAGGGGGAGGGAGGAGGAGGGAGGAGGAGGAGGAGGAGGAGAAGGGAGGAGGAGAATGGAGGAGGAGGAGGAGGAGGGAGGAGGAGGAGGAGGAGGAGGAGGAGGAGGGAGGAGGAGGGAGGAGGACATTTTGGACATCAGGAATGTCGTGGGCCAACCAACCCTCGTGGGATGGTTGAGGGGACCGCCCCGCGAAGCTCCTCCGTGCCCGACAGGCCTATGGGGCCGCATCGCTAGGGCGTCGGGCAGCGTTGAAGCGCCCTGCCCGGGCAGGCCGGGGCAGGCGCGACAGCGCCCCCTGAAGAGGGGGGAAAGGAACGGGGGGGGGAGGGTGAGAAGGCGGAGCGGGCAGGGGCAGGGGCGGGAGAGACGGGGGCACGGTCCAGCAGCGGCCCCGGCTCGGCTGGCGATTCTGGGCCGCCGCGCCGTCGACCCAAAATCCGCCCCCGCGCGCCCCGGCCCCCCGGGGCCGATTCTGGGTCGCGGCGCTGGCGACCCAGAATCACGGGGGGGGCGTTTCTACGCCCGGCGGGGACGGCTCGGCGGGGACGCGCTGCTGACGTTGAAGCGCCCTGCCCGGGCAGGCCGAGGCAGGCGCGACAGCGTTCCCTGAGGAGGCGGGGGGCGCAGAGTGGGGGGGGGAGGGGGCGGAGCAGGCACGGCGGGGGGAGGGGAGGATGGTAGCCAGGAGGAGGGGGGAGGAGGGCGAGGGGGGGCGCCGCCCGACGGCGGCAGCGACGGCAGCAGCGACGGCGAGCGGGCCGGACCACGGCCCCCGGCGCCCAGGCAGAGTCGTTCCCGCGCGCGCGGGCCCCAGGCCCCCCGGGGCCGATTCTGGGTCGCGGCGCC